ATTAATTCAAGGGTTTTGTCTAACCTATCCCATAATACCCCAAGAATTTGTTACAGAAGAAGAAGATTAAAATACATGGATTTTAAATCAATTGTCATTCTGTCAGTGTGGATTGAATTGAATGCTGAACCATCAAGATGTAGTTTTACTTGGGAAATCGAACCATTTCAATTTACAGTAATTAAATTATAAAAGAAAAATGCTTAGTTTCAAATGGGTTTAATTTAACAAAGTAAAAAAAAAAAAACAAACAAAACAAAACCAAATTGGGTAGACACTTGACTAAGTAAAATGGAGCATAACTCAACATGAATATAATAATAGGAATAATAATTAATAAGAAGCTTAGGATGCTTGTTCTTGCATTAATGAAGATGCGTTTAAAAATGTTCCCTGGATACACATGCTGAGCCTTTTTTAGACTTCACAAGGACACAAGTTTCTAACCCTCTTTTCCCCTTTGAAATTAGCCTTTTTCCCTTTCTCTTTCCAAGGATTTACCCAAAAAAATTCCCTTGGACCAATTATGCTACGCTTTACGCATGTCTCATGTCACATGTATGCAAATCTCAATAACCCTTTGATACGCTTTTAGAGATGGTGAGCACGAGCCAGGTCCCTCCCTGGCTTCCCTTCTGGTCCAAAGAGACTCCTCCACTGTTTGAGATTCGAGCTCTCGAGAGTGCCACTCACACCCATTAGTCCAGTACTCCATTTTTTTTTCTTTTTCTCCCTCTCTCATTTTAAATTTCTGCAAGCCCAAGATTATGAATATAGTCTCTCTCTCTCTCTCTCTCTGGTGTGAAGAAATGCACAAAGCCACAAACTGTCCTCTAGGAGACTGAATTTTATTTTACATGACAGTGTAATTTATGCTTTCCTGAGTAGAGTTATGGTTGCAACCAAACGTCTCAGTCTCCCTCTACAGCATCTTATTAATCTGGACAGAGCTTCCTTTCCACATAGAGATGGTAGCTTTTAGCCATCTAGACATGTGCAGCCCCTCCCAAAATGTGGTCAGCCATGAAAAGCATCCGGAAGGACCAGAACCAGAACATCCACCATATCCACTGTTGCCACACTGAGCGCTCATGGCGAATAAATAAATCCATGGGGAATCCACATTGGCTCCCTCTTTTAATTGTTACTTGTGAATACTATATTTGCAACTGTGTTAACAAATTTCCACTTCACATTCCACAGGAAAACGGAAAACCCCAGTTGGCAAGGCCGTCTCCATACCTCTGTCTTAACCCAGCCCAGCAAACAAATTACAAAACAATTAGTAAAAGGGTCAACAGTTTTGCCTGGAACTCTGCATTCTAGGGCCGAGAACCATGGGGAAGAGACAGCACCACTGTTCATTCTCTAGGAACTCTTGCACCTGCTTCACATGTGCCTTGGTCAAATTCACATACATACACACATACACAGTCAATTTATCAAATATTTAATATGCTTCCTTGAAGAACCATCCACCCTTACACATGTGAACAAACATTTCTTGATTTGTACTTAACCACATTTATGCTAATATTAATTCCACAGACCACAGGCTTCTCCTTAATATTGCTCTACAATAAATGGTGAAGTCGTTGGCTTTTGTTGTGTTCTGTTCCCCATTAACTCTAACATGGTGCGTACGTACGCACACTTTTGCTGTATGCTCACACCTATACATTAACTTACATGGAGGATGAGGATCCTCAAAAATCGGCTGGTCCCACCATTGTTTTCAACCTCCCAAAAGTGAAAAAAAAAAACAAATTCATTAGTTTAGATTTAATCAAACAAGAAAACTGGAATCTTGGAGGTTCTATGTTATAGTACACCTTGGAGGTCTACAATTACTTTGGAACAATGAACTACTCACTCAGAACTCATTATGAGTACAGCTTGGAGCTGCAGGATCACATCTAACCTTCAACGCTCTTCTCCTTAAACTATGAACTAGTCATATAGGACACTGTCTGAAATGCCAATAATCTGGTAGTCAGAATTATCCAAGTGCTTTGGAATTCAGGCCATGGTCCCACACCCCTATGGCCCCATTTAAGTTGAGAAACAATGGGCTGGTCACAGGTTGGTTTTCTTGATGGTTGATCTGAAGCTAAAGAATTTACATTTGGGTTTACCAGGTTCAGTTGCAAAATAACCAACTGAAATTGGTTGTGGGCAAATTGAGAAAACTCTCTATCCAAACCAACATCAAATTTGAATGCTAAGAGGTTGAGTATTAGAAGCAAAGTAGCTGACCAGGTTTAGACAATTTGATGGTTGAACTCAAGAATTGTCACCCTTTTGATCTGAGAGTTTGGAGTCTTAATTTGGTAGATGAAATAGTGCTTGCAGGCAGAGATTTCCTATGATCTAGAGAAGTTGAGATGAAACACATCCCATGATGTCTATAGGAATACTGAAGCTCTTCTTGGTCTATGTCCTGCTGGTGTTCAGTATGATTGCTTTGACCACAAGGAGCATGGCCCAATACAGCCACACCTGTCTTATTTTAGTTTCTTCACCTGAGCAAGACCAACCTTGTGTCATCACACCAAGGCCGCATAGTGCCAATATTGTATGTTGAGGGTCTGGCCCGGTACCAAGTAGTAATGATTGTTGTGTTGCAGCCTGCAAGGGATGGAGGTGGAAATTCAATTCCTCTTGATTGAAACAAAAACAGAAACTACATAGATTACTTGAATGGGCAATTGACACAATTTATCGATAATTTCGGCATCATTGGGTGTTGATTGGTGAGCACTGAGCACTCAATGCCTCAATGGGTTGCATGTATCATCTTTCCAAGAGTTAATTAAAAAAAACTATTCATTATCACCGTAGGATAGAGTATATTACAAGACATTGGTAAGTACTTATTTCATTGGAGAGACGGAAGAGATAACAAAGAAGAATATATTTCAGCCAATTCTAATTAAGGATCTAATACACCAATATATATATATATATATATATATATATATATAGAACTAAAAGGATAATAGAAAAATAAGTATTTGGATTAATATAATAGAGAGTAAGGGTGCAATGGATTTAAGTTCTAATGGAATAGTTCGGATTTGAGTTCGATTAGGCTAGATTTGAGTTTGAATATTGGATGAGTACGATTAATTATTCGAGTTCGACCAAAAAAGTTCAACTTGAGTTTGGATCAATTTGCACATATATACATATTATAGAATATATCATATACATAATACAAAAATATATTCATTTTTTAGCTTTCAGCTGAATTCGGATTCATCGAATCGAACCAAACTCGAACTACTCAAGTCTGATATTATTTTAATCGGATCGAGCCAGAACATGCCAAAATCGGCTCGGCTCTATTGCACCTCTAATAGAGAGCATGAAATGGTCGGCAACAGTAAGTCGCCATGTGCGATCGTCCAAACAATCAAGTAATACAGAACCCTAGCTCCCTGCTAAACATCCTTGTCTATATCTGTTGATTCAGCTCAAGCTCTCAATCATGGCTTAAGCAATATTGAATGGGTTCTGCTCTGCCAAACTAATTGCTTAACCCAAAAATAGCAGAAACATTGTCAAACAGCTGATATGTGCTTGATGTAAGGGGTGTCAGTCAAGTTGGGGTTTGCTGAGCTATGCCTTGCTAATCGTCCGTCGCGCGCTCTCTCTCAGATGTCAACAGTGCTCTGTGTTTTCTACTGTTCTTATTGGTCTATTGTTAGAATGATTTTACCACATTTGAAAGCTTTCAGCATTAGTTTTGCGGTGAAGGATGCAACGTAACGTAAGAGCCTACAAAAACAGTGGTACATGAACTTGGCTTTGGCTGGCTGGCTGTATGGGCCAAGTGTCCACTTTAAGAGGTTTTGGTGCGAGATTCGCTCAAAGAGGGCGGTGCACTTAAATGTTGCATAAAAGAAATTGATGAAGGGAACCCAAAACCTTTTCTCTTGTTTGACCAAAACGAAGTAAAAATGTTTTTCCTCATAAGTATTCTAGTTTCTTAGGGTGTCTTTATATTATTTAGTCCTCCCATGGCTCCGCCCTTTTCTCTGGGTTAAAGATCTACACTTTCTGTACGTTTTTTTCCCTTTCTGATTTCTCTTTGCCTCTGCTGTGTTCTAGTACTAAGGTTCAACATTTGTGTACCATATTCCTTATGTTTGCTTAGTTCAGGAATTCCATCTTTTCGTATGGCAAGCAATTGAGAGTTCTTGAAAAGAAACACAAAGCAGACAGATTTATTACCAGCAATAAATATATCTTCTGATCCAGTGGTGAAATATTATTCATGTTTTCTCAATAGACAATCAGACACCATTTTAAGTTATAAGATTCCAAGCCCAAAATTTGTATCCATGCCAATCCGAGCACTTTGATTGGACTCAAAAGTTTGCTCCTTCATCTCTTGGTTTGGGCTTGAGTTGTGGCTTTGGAAAACTTGGCCAAGGGCCCGACATAAGCCCAAAAACGTACTTGTACAAAGTGTCTTTTCCGTGTAAATATTTGAGCAATTTCAATCTATTAATTAGTCGATCGGTACACTGCCAAGTTGCCTTGAGAAGGAATTGCACTTCACTTGCTTCAGTCTGAGGAATTCTCCTACTCAATGACATAGCTGTTCAAGCCACAATTGACCTAGGCCACTTCAAGTTTTCAATAGACTTGGGTTGCTCCTCCTATACATTACGTTGGGCTTGAATTGGCTCTAAAGTCTAAACCCAACAAAAAAAAAAAAAAAAAAGGGTACGAGACTTGGTAAAACGGCAGATGTTGAGAGCACATCTGCTGCAATATGCATATATTCAATAATATGTCAAATAATCGGAAAGTTTCACTCTCCTCTCTCCCACTCCCAGAAGTTTATGATAGGAGCAAAGTTGTGCATGCAACGTCTCAGTTGTCTTCTACGTACTCGCTGCTCTTCCACTCTAGATACCAACATAAAATCGCTTCTTTCTCTTCTACAAACAGCAACCGATGTCCGACAACTCCATCAAATCCATGCCCACATGATAATCTCTGGCACCATTAAAGACACCTTTGCTGCCAGTCGACTACTCTCTTCACCTGCACTTGTGGAACCCAGCTACGCCCGTTTGATCTTCTCCCAAATCTCTTCCCCTAATCTCTTCATATGGAATACATTGATCAAGAAGCTCGTAGAAAATGGCATGGATTCCATGAGCCCACCACCTCTTCTAGTTTACAAACAGATGCTCAAAACCAGTGTAAGACCCAACAGTCACACCTTCATGTACCTGATCAAGGCCTTGCAAGCTCAGTTGGATTTGTATCTCCATGAGGGAGAAGCCATCCATTCAAATGTTGTGAAATTCGGATGTGACTCTAGTCAATTTGTCTCGAGCGCGTTACTGGGATTTTATGTTGCTTGTGGGTTTGTAGACAGAGCGCGTAGGGTGTTTGACAAAATATCTGAACCAGGCTTGGTGTTGTGGACTGCCATGATGCGTGCTTATGTTTGCGCAAATGTTTCAGAAGAAGCATTAAGGCTCTTTGGAGAGATGAGGCAGCTGGGTTTTATGCCTGACCCAGTGACATTGGCAACCATTGTCTCAGCCTGCGGGCAGTTAGGAAACTTGGACACGGCAAAGGTGATTCACGGTTTCATCACCAAAAGTGGAGTTGAGGTTGATGCTTTTGTAAGTAGCGGACTCTTGGGTATGTACGGTGATTGCGGGAGTTTAGAGTTTACATATAATTTATTTTGTGAGATGTCTGCCAAGAATGTGGTGATTTGGAACACCATGATTCATCAATGTGCCAAAAATGGTAACATGGACCTTGCATATCAGTTGTTTAAGATGATGCCGGATGCAGACATAGTATCATGGAACACAATGATTGGGGGATTAGCTCATGCGGGACGGTGCAAGGAAGCATTAGCATTGTTCAATGAGATGGAACTATATGGTGTGAAACCTAACAGATTGACCCTTTCAATCACCCTTTCTGCCTGTGCTGGTCTTGGTGCTTTAGATACTGGTACATGGATTCATGCCTACATAGAGAAAAACAGCCTCAACTCAGATGGATCTCTGGATCCTGGCTTGATCGACATGTACGCCAAGTGTGGGAGCATAGACAAGGCACTCCAAGTTTTTGAAAAGACTACGAGGACAGATCTTTTTTCATGGACATCAATCATATGTGGGCTAGCAATGCATGGACATGCTAAGCAGGCCATACATTATTTTTCTCAGATGCTGGAAGCTGGGGTGCAACCAGATGATGTCACATTGGTGGGCATCCTCAATGCTTGCGCCCACTCAGGATTCTTGGACCAAGGCTGGCAGTACTTCCTTTCAATGGAGAAGGTTCACAGTTTGACTCCCAAACTGGAACACTATGGTTGCATGGTCGATCTTCTAGGCCGAATGGGGTATCTCAAAGAGGCTTACAGTCTGATAAGGGGAATGCCTATGGAGCCCAATGAGGTCATATGGGGAACCTTATTAAGTGCTTGTAGAGTCCATAACAACGTGGAATTGGGTGAGCTTGCAGCTCAAAGGTTGCTTCAGCTAGATCCAACTGATCCATATATCAGAGTAATGCTGTCTAACATATATGCAGAAGCTTCTAGATGGGATGGGGTCATGAGGATAAGGAAAGAACTGAAGGAGAGAGGGCTGAGGAAGGAACCTGGTTGCAGCTCAATTGAGGTAAACGGTGTTGTTTATGAATTTCTTGTAGGAGACAGTTTGCATGCCCAACAAATTGAGATTCATTCAATGCTAGACAAACTCGAAATAATGTTGAAAATTGGATGTCATTGAACTCTTGAAGCTTAGTATTCTCAAAAAAAAAAAAAAAAGCCGACCAAACTTTTTAAATGAAGATGCATTAAATGTGAATCTGCATTTGGCCGTGTAAGTCGGTATCAGACACGAGAAAGAAGGGAAAAATGAATCGTAATTCATAGATTAGGTGGTGGTTAATTTATAGATACAGGGTAATCGACTTGGGCAACTTGAACCCAACATGCCAACTGTCGAGATTCTGTTACAAACCAATTAACAGATGTTTTAACTACGCTAACATCCCCCCTCAAATTGGTGTAGGAAGAAATTGAATGCCCAACTTGGACGTTAACCGCTGAAACTTGTCTGAACCGAGGGCTTTAGTGAAAAGATCAGCAGGTTGAGAATTGCTTGGTAAGTGGAAGATCTGAATTTCTCCAGTTTGTACATGTTACATACGAAATGGCAATCGATGCCGATATGCTTGGTACATTCATGGAACACGGGATTGGCAGCAATGTGGAATATTGCTTTGCTGCCACAGTACAAGTGCGTGTAAGGTAGAGAGACAGTTAAGTTGTGGAGAACATGTTTCAGCCACAAGAGTATTGGCCACTGCTCAGTACTCAGCCTCAGCAGATGATCGAGAAATTGTCTGCTGCTTCTTAGATTTCCATGAAAGTGGCACAGACCCCAACAAGGTAAAATAGCCTATAGTTGAACGTCAGGTCAAGAGGCAACTGGCCCAATCCGAGTCAGTATCCTCGGACCATGAGATCAAATGTAGCCCTAAAGAAAAGGCAATGGAACAAAGTGCCTTTGAGATACCGAATTACATGCAATGCGACATCAAGATTCTCTTGTTTTGGTGTTTGCATATGCTGGATGAGACAGTAAATGTCCATAGAAGAGTGAACAACTTCCAGTCCTGAGAAATATTGAAGGGAACCAAGATCTTTGATGTGAAATTGGTCATTAAGAAACTTCTTAATGAAGGAAATGCAGGCTGGATCATTCCCTATGAGGATGACATCATCCACATACACCAAAATAGTAATGTAGGATTCCCCTTGAGTTTGTGTGAATAGAGAGTAATCGGCATTAGATTGCTTAAATCCAAGGGAAAGAACGGCTTAAGTGAATTTAAAAAACCACATTTTGGAGGCTTGTTTGAGCCCATAAAGAGATTTTTGTAACTTGTAAATTTTGTGGGTGCCATCCTTAGCAAATCCTTGTGCGATAGTCATGTAAACTTCTTCATGGAGATCACCATGAAAGAAAGCATTGTTGACGTCTATTTGATGGAGTTCCCATTACCTAATGGGGGCAACAACCAAGAGAACGTACAATTACCAATTTTGCAACAGGGGCAAATGTGTCATGGAAATCAATGCCTTCAACCTGTGTATAGCCCTCGACCATAGTTGAGCCTTGAATCTTTCAATACTATCATCAGTTTTCTACTTGATTTTATAAACCCATTTAGATCCAATGGCTCATTTGCCAGGTGGCAAGTTTACAACAATCCATGTGTTATTTTTTTTCAAGATGTTCTATCTCTTTGGCCATGGCTTCTCTCCACCGTGGATCGGAAAAAGGCTTGAGCAAAGGAAGTGGCTCATGTTCAATGGAAATAGTAACAGTGTGAAGGGCAGTATTGACATTTTTAGTGATGGATGGTGGAAGCTGAACAAAGTAATCATGAAGGTGTGGGGGTAAATGGTGTTCACGACGTGGCCTAATATCATGCTGAGTGGATGGGGCTGTCATGGATTCGAGGCCAGGACTGTCTTCATGGGTGGGTGCATTGACTATGGGTGTCTGGACTGGTGAGGTGGAGGTTGTATGAGTGGATTCAGTAGGTAATTCATTGACTGAGGTGGTGATGGGCTCATGGGCTGGTATTTGTTCAGGTGGATAAGCTTCAAGTAATGAGTCCGAAGGCTGTGCAAGGGGCAAGACAGAAGTAGAGGGGTTGTAATAGTTCGAAAAGGAAATATGGACTCATAGAAAATAATATCTCTAGAGGGGAATATGCAGTGTGAGGTAAGGTCATAAACTCTATAACCCTTTTGTTCGTGAGGGTAGTCTATAAAGATGCATTTTGAAGCTCGACCGGGGAATTTGTTTCTATTGAGTGGTCAGATCTAAGTCTAACAAAGGCAACCAAAAGTGTGAAGATGTTTGTAATCAGGTGGTTTATGGAAAAGTATCTCAAATGGTGACTTCGCTGAAAGTGTCGGCGTGAGGAGTAAGTTGATGAAGTATACTGTTGTAAGTAGATACTCTCCCCAAAATGACACGTGAAGAGAGGGGCACAAGCGACTTCAAGCAAGTGGCAATGTTTGCATTCAGCAACACCATTTTGCTGGGAGTATCTATGTAAGATCTTTGATGAATAATGCCTCCAAAGGTGAAATATTGATGCATGGGACTAGAAATAAATTCAGACCCATTGTCGAAACAGACGCATTTTACATCACAATTGAACTGGTGTTTCACCATTGCAAAAAAAAAAATAAAAAATAAAGAAAAAGAAAAAAAATAAAGAAAGAACAATACTTTGATTTATTTCTTAAGAGATAAACCCATGTACACTTGCTGAAGTCATTAACAACAGTGAGAAAAAAATGCGTGTTCAAATGCAGAGTCGTCTAGTAGCCACCCCAAATATCGCAATGGACAAGTTGGAAGGGAGTAGTAGTGTGAGAGACGCTTACTGGAAATGGGATCCATGTCTGTTTGGCGCGATGATAAGAATCACAACAAAAATCTCCAGGTGTGTGGCAAGTATGTCATTTATTAGAGAGATGCGTTGCTAAGAAGCATGACCAAGTCGCCTATACCACGTAACATCATCGACAATGGAGGCAACCACAAGAGATGCAAAGGATTGTGCTGGAACTATGAAATGGTATAAACCATCATGGAGCTTGTCCACCCCAATCACTGTCTTGGAGGCAAAGTCCTGAAAAACACAAAATGGTGGAAAGAAAATTGCCACGCATTGGAGCTGAGTGGTTAGTTTGCTTACAGATAACAAATTACATTTAAATTATGGGAGATGAAGGACATCATGAATGGTGTGTGATCCCAGATTCACAGATCCTTGTTGAGTGGCAAAAATGATGGTTCCATTTGATAAACGAACCAATTTCTCATGATTCAAACAATTCGAGTTGATAAACATGGATTCAAAAGCAATCATGTGGTTGGAGGCACTACTATCGAGAATCCAACTGAAAGGGAATGATTCTTACCAGAGACATTAGCTGAGGAAAAGTTAGATGTATCATTGCTGAGGAGAGATAAAAGTTGTGTATTGATTCATTGACAATCTTGGGATTGGGGATTTGTTAGTGAGACCTGAGGATTCAACAACTGCACATGATGTTGGCCGAGACTGTTATGAATTTTTGTTATCGGAACAACAATTTGATCGATTCTTTTCCCAATTTTCTAGGTATCCAAAGTGTTCATAACAATGATCTTTGGTATGGATGTTCTTCTTGAAGTGATCGCACTGTGGTCTTTGTCAGTGTTGTCCATTCGATCCAGGTCCTTAGGGAGATTGTGAGTTGATGTTTCTCTTATTGAATAATAAGTGCACATGCACGATTTATGTTGGGCAGAAGATCGGACCCCAAAATAGTAGTTCAAATTGAGTTGAAGCTGAGTCCCACGAGGAATTGGTGTAGTTTCTCCTTATCTCTTTTGGCCGCAAAGGCCTTCGCTACTCCACATAAACATTCGAGAAAGGTGACGAGTGCTCCTAACTTGTTCGATAGTGTTTTGAGTTTGGTGAAGTAGGTAGTAACTGTCAAATCTCCCTATTTTAATTGGTGAAGGAGCACCAATTCCTATTTTGGTTGGTGTATGCGAGGCACATTTCCTTGCGATAATCATTTTTCTAGTTCTTTCAGGATAGGGAATTGAAGATCCATGAAACAACCATGGTGTTACATTTGGACCAGGTCAATTCTTTGGTCGTGGCAAGAATCCATCAACAAAATTGAGCTTATTCTTTGCTCTAGGGCTGTCTTCATAACTTGGAGCCATGTCAAAAAATTTTCTCGGATGAGAAGTGTTGAAACCAGTACTGTTCCTGGGTTATCCAAAGGATGCAAGAAGTTTGGCGAACATCCGTCGACCTCGATTACCATTGACAGCGACAGTTTGGAAGAACAAGAACACTAGAAAGAAAAGGAAAGAGGAAAAAAAGGAGGCGACGAGAATCTTTAAAAACAAAGCGAAACACCTGAATTTCAGCATCATCTTTCCTGCTCTGATACCATGTAAATCGGTATCAGACACAAGAAAGAAGGGAGAAAACTAAATCGTAATTAATAGATTAGGTGGTGGTTAATTTATAGATACAGGGTAACCGACTTGGGCAACTTGAACCCTACATGCCAGTTGTCAAGATTCTGTTACAACCGATTAGCAGATGTTTTAACTACACTAACAGGCCGATCTTTGGTCATTCCAACCGATTAGCAGATGTAATGATCTTTGGTCATTACACAAATAGAGGTGCCAACGGTTGATAAGCTCGACTCCCCATATTCATATGCGGAGATCATGATAAACTCAACACCAAAATGTTTTGATTTTTTCCCGTCATGGGTAGGTTTGGGGCGGGACACTCTTTTCCCATTGGGACTGGAGAATTCCCAAATTTTTCCCGTTTCAAAGAAATTATCTAAATATATATCAAATTTTAAAAATAGGATTTTAAAAATTTGGGAAAATTTTAGAAATGTGATTATGGGTTGGGATCTTGAGTTTTTTTAAATTTGAGAGAAATTCAAGGATATTTAAAAAATTAATATTAAATTTAAAAAATATTTTAATAATTTACCATTGAATTAAAGGCAGGTTTGGGGAAATATAATTTTGTCTTGCAATGTCTTCTACATTTAATCTTCTTACAGAATAAATTTCATGGGCTTGACTGATTGATTATACAGCTTAGCTTTTGCACAATTGCACCTTCAGTTAGCTTTTAAAAACTTTTGCTTTTTTTACCAAAATTC